AAAAAAAAAAAAAGTTAAGCTCCTGGAAAGATCTAAGAGTGTTTCTATCTTGACCCTGATATTTTTTATCAGAACATGCAAAATATTTAATGCAAATTCTCCTTGGGTGTGCCCTTGCTTTTATGGACTTTTTATTGCTTATAAACCAAATTACGTCATTGCTGGTACTTTCTCTGACCCTTTAGTTAAAAAGTTACCCCAAGGACAATCCCATCTTTGTGTGCTCAGTGTTTGCTGAGCACTCCAGGATCCTTGGATTTGCATGGGGTGGGAGCAGAGCCCCACCCAGGCATGACACCAACCCCATCAACATTGCCTCTAATCCTTCTGCATTTTTTCCATGAAGAGCACTGAAATTTCCTCAAAAAAAGCTTCATTTGAAATTAGCAAAGGCTTCTGTTACTCTATTTACTAGGTGAGGCAAGTCAGAAATTCTTTTATATTGAACAAAAAGACAAAAAGAAGGGTGGGTGTGAACTGAAATGGGCTGCTCAGAGAGGCTGTGGAGTCTCCATCCTTGGAGACATCCAAAATTAATCAGGAAACGGTCCTGGGCACTCAGATCCCAGGGAGGTAAGAATGGACTTACAAGTGTCCCTTCCAACCTCAATCACTCCAGGATTCTGTGAAGAAATGGGTTTTAGCCTTCATATTTTTGTACATTTGAAAGGAAGAAAGTTTTATTGCTGTTAAAACATCTTCTTTTCCTGCTTGCCTCAAATGCTCTCTGGATTTATCCCTTTATGGAAAATTAAAATAAATGAATAAATAGATAAATAAATAAAGGGGGTTGGGGGAAAGGAAAAAAGCAAGCGTTAACAAACATTCTGAAATACAGGAAGAATATGGACAAACCAGGAGGTGATAATTGCTAGATGGGTGGGAAGCCAGTGGTTAGTGGGAATAGAAGCAGATAAACACAACATTTCTGAATAGAAGGGATACAGGGTAGGAACTGGAAAAAAGTGATGGGATTAGTATTTTAATAGGATCTAAAGCTGGTTGTTTGAGAACACTGGTGGCTAGAGCTAGAGAAGAGAGTAAAAATATGAGAAATGTGTAGAAATTATATATTTTAAACTTAGAAAAAATAATCAGTCCAGGAAATTTTGAGCTTCAGCAGAATAGAGGGAGAAATGGGCAGGGAAATCCTGTAAGGACCAAGAGAGTCATGGGGCAGGAATGGAAGGGGAGGAATAATGAAAGCTGGCTAAAGAGCCACACTGTAGAATCAAGGAGGAAAAAAACCAACCTGAACTCCAAAAGTTAGAGATAAGAGACTGGTGATGGTGCCAGTAGGAAGGGGCAGCCAATAAGTAGAATAAATTGTAGCTGTGGAAAGGGGTATTAACCCTTTAGATGCAGCGGAAATAAAACGCACAGCTACGTGGTCGTCTTTCATGGTAGGAAAGAAAGAGACAAGTTTATTCAGAAACACACTTGGTTTTATAACATGACTCGCAACTCCAAGGGCAGAACAAAGATGATTGGTTCAGAGAGAAGACACCCCATTCCCAGGGCCTGGTCATGCACCACAACAGGTGTTCTATCTTTGTTATTGAATTCCTCTCTATTTTGACCAAGTTATCACCCTGGCAGAAATTCTCCCTAGCCTTGAGCTGGACCAGCTTATCAGGCTGGGAACAGAGCTGAGAAGCTCCGGCCTGGAATATTTTTCAGGCCATAATTTTCTAGCTCTCTCAAGTGTATGTCCACAATAAATGATGTATCAGCCAAGGCCTGGATAATGTGGAAATGTGGAAGAGCCAAGCAAAGTGAGGAGAAAGGTAAGAGAAATTTGGGGGGAAATGTGAGGCAAATTTAAGGGAGAGCAAGCACAAAAGTCTGTGCATCCAATAATGGTGAGAAAGGGGAAAATCCCACTCTCCTGATGACTGTGGACATCATAACACAGAATTACAAAGTGACAAAAGGACAAGGGGAATCAGAGGCTGGGTGTGGCAAGAGCTGAAGAGCTGCTGGTCTCTGGATTAACCAGTGCTTCAAGGAGCTCTTGGAATAACAGAACTGATGGAATTTGTCATCTCAGTGCTCAACAGCTGCAAAAAAGCTCCACTGTTGGGAGCTGGCAATAAAGGAGTGTTAGGGTGAGTAAAATCTCATATGAAGGGAGGAGAAAGATATCAGCACTAGGCTGACTTCTGTCCTCTCATTAGTGATTAAACATTAATAGCAAATCAGAGAATCAATCATATCAGAGAATCCCCGAATGGGACTTTGAAGCCCATCCCATCCCATCCCATCCCATCCCATCCCATCCCATCCCATCCCATCCCATCCCATCCCATCCCATCCCATCCCATCCCATCCCACCCCTGCCATGGGCAGGGACACTTTCCACTGCAACAGGTTGCTCCAAGCCCTGTCCAACCTGATCTTGGCTCCCCATCCCCACAAAGCAGTGAGATTCAGGAGTCACTTATAGAACACAAGTGGAGAAAATGAATGAACTTTTTAATAAGTGGAATGGGTAAAATAATGGATTTAGAAATAAGAAGGGTGTGTGAGGTAACACAAGCCTGATGGTTTGGTGAAAAATAAGGGAATCAACATGTTTTTTTTTCTCATAATACAAATTACACAGTTGAATCACCAGTGAGGCAATTCATTGTAGCTCATTTTTTAGGGACTGGGGTGTTGAAGAATCACAGAATCACAGAATAGTTTTGGTTGAGAGGGACCCCAAAGATCATTCCCCAAAGTTCCATCCCCTTGCAGGGACATTTCCTACTGGACCCCTAAGGAAGGGCATTGTGCTGTTACCTGATGCTCAGAATTCAGGTCTGCCAAAATCAGTTCTTTCTGACTCTGGTGTGGGATTTCACTCAACTCAGCATTTGGGTTATAAACACACACATCATGAGGTGCTGTCAAACCAGTGAGATCCATCTGCTTCCTGCGGGATGGGGGCTGGGAGCTGAGAGCAGTCCTGTCCCATAGCACATGGGTGAGCTGAGCAGGGCAGACAAACACTGTCATCAGGTTTAGCCAAGTGTTCAAGTTTTAAGGATTCATTGGATGAGGCAGATCTGAAGTCAATTTGGGAAGTCAGTGCGCGCGTCAGGTACCAATTGGGGTCCAGAGACAGTGAAGAGGATCAGACAGAGCCCTGTGATCACCAGGCACGTCCATCATGAAGAGACAGGTCCCAGTTCAAGCCAGAGGGATGGTCTGTGGATTGGGGTCCTGATCATCTGGCCTGTGACCAGGCCCACACAGGTGGTGGGGACCAGCACCCCTGCGGTACCTGACTGTGGTGGAGAGCGGCACCCTCCAACACAGCCCAGAGCTGACTGAAAATGTAGGCCAAGGGAAGATGGAGGACTCAGGTGACCTCAGATCCATTAGAGCTCCCTCAGTACCCTCAGAAAAACAAGACCTTAAAAATGCAGTGCAGGGTCTGCTCTGTGGGAAGCACCATCAGAGGCTGCTCTTTGGGGCCAGGAGCAGCCAGTCCCAGCCTCATAGTGCTGCTGGCTTGGTGGTGTGATTCTGTGAATCTACTAATCACAGCTACTCCTGCAGAGCTAAACCTGGCATGTGCTGACCTTCTGCAGATAACAGCTCTGTGTGGAACAATATTTCTCTGATCGACCTCCAAACCCTCAATATCCTGACAGGGAATGCCAGCAGACCTTTCCAACCCCTAACAATTCTGTAGGGAAGGGAAGCCAGGGTTGAGGGGGTAATTCTCAGCTGCTCTGAGTTACTTATTTCAGAGCAAGTATAGAGAAATTTTGTACATTTCAGTAGAGTGAAACACATTTTGGTTTTGGGTTTGGGAGGCGCCCACAGGAAGGTCTCCAGTCCAGCTCTCCTGTCCCACCTGAGCACTGGCACTGTTTCAACAGGATCTCGGTTCTAATCTTGTTTCCAACAATTCTCCCTTTCAAAATCTATAACCTCTTCTCCAGGAGCTGGTCCAAGCTGCTGTGCTGGGACCTGAGGATTTGTCTCATTAGTTTTAAAGGAAAATAGTGAGTTCTTTCTTTATTCAGAGAAATTACTTCAGGTTCAAAAAAAGCCTCTGCAATGTTTGAGTCAGGGAATCCCATTTCCCAGAGATGCCAACTTCAAGGCAGTGGGAAGAGCCTTAGTGAGGGACTTTACCTTTGGAATTTGCTCTGGATGCATTTTGTCCTGGGATAGTCAAGATGTAAGGAATCTTCTTCTACACCCTCACAGTTTTCCTGTCAAATGAAGTAGGAATTTATGCACCTCATGATAATTTTCTAACATCAATACTAGATTTAGGCTCCAAATTCTAGGACTGAGGATGCAGATTTGGAGCACTGAGAGTCTTGGTAGAACTTGGTTGCTGAGTTGAGGGCTCCATATATAAAAATGGAGATAATAGTTCCAAAGTTACAAACAGGAGGGAAAAATTTAAAATCTCTGCTGTGAACTTGCATTACCATGACAGATCTGGGGGTACTCAGCCTGGAGAAAAGGAGGCTCAGGGGGGAACCTTCTGCCTCCCCACAACTCCCTGACAGAAGGGTGTAGCCAGGGGGGTCGGGCTCTGCTCCCAGGGAACAGGGACAGGAGGAGAGAGAAGGGCCTCAGTTTGGGCCAGGGGAGGGTTAGGTTGGACATCAAGAGAAATTTCTTCATGGAAAGGGTGGTCAGAAATAGGAAGGGGCTGCCCAGGGCAGTGGTGGAGTCCTCATTCCTGGAAGTGTCCAAGGAAGGACTGGGCATGGCCCAGCTTTGGGCTGGGTGACAAGATGGGGATCTGGCACAGGTTGGACTCAATGATCCTGGAGGGCTTTTCCAACCCAAATAGTTCTGTGATTCTGTGACTACAAACTGATTTCAGTTCAGGACATCTTTAAAAGATATCTTTTATTTAGGGAAACCACAGACATGAAGTGCTTTATATGGGGAAAAAGCAAGGAGGCAAGAAGAGTATCCTAAAACAAAATCCACCCCAAACCCCAGCAATAACAAACAAACGAAAAAACAAAGCCGAAAAAAAATCCAAATTATTATTCTTTTTATTGCCTGTACAGCATATAGATATGGGCAGAATATTTCTTTACAATCTTACCACCAATAAATAAAACAACAGGCAATGCTTTCATTTCAGTGTGATTCTAGCACTGCACTTTGGAATTCCTTTCTCCCAAAGAGAGTTTAAAGAACCTTGATATCCAGGGAAGAAGTGTTCCTATGCTACTCTACACCCATTCCCTAAATCAATAACAATCAGTACAAGGAACAGTCTGATTTCTGGCTATCAGAGTGTTCGTAAACACCAGGAATTCAGCTCGAGTTACTTGTTGCAGTTCTGCTACAAACTCAAAGGTGTCACCTGCAGACAGATGGAAAGGAAAGGGATCTAACACACTAGGAAGGAGGGACTGGGAAAGGGAATAAGCCAGTGGTGTTGTGTGTAGGGGAGACAAAATCACAGATATTAATGATGAGATACTACTTATTGGACATTAAATATAAGATATTAAAAAGGCTACGGAGGATGCTGAGTTTCACCCAGCTTGTTCAAATCCAGGCAAAATAGTGAGAAATGAAACACAGGGCATTTCCATTCCAGTATCACACAACTTCTGTAGTACCTGCACTTCTCAGAGGAGTCACAGCTTCCTTGCTGGCAGAACTGCTCTGGTAGTGGCACCTGATCCAGGTGCTACAATACTGCAGGGATGTCCCCGCGAGCTGCCAGCTCCAGTTTGGCTGGAGTGGGAGATGAAGTCCAGGAATATTGATTGGTGAAAGTACATGATCTAGCCACAGGAATGCACTAACTTCCCAGCAGGACATGTCTTGCATGAGTTTTTCCACCTTCTCAGAAGCAGCCAGCACAGGCAGCATTGGCACAGATCTCACACAGGTCGTCCTCGGCAGCCAGGCCTGTCCAGGAGAAAGGAGGTATTCAGTCAAATGCCAGGAGGGCACAGCCACCTGTTCAAAGCATTTGGAGACTCCTCTGCATTCCTATTTTATCATTTGAAAGATCCTTGTAGGTAATACTGCTCTAAGATTTTGATCTGGCTGAAGGAATGAAATAAAACCTGAATTCCTTGGGAAGCAGTGGGAATATGTGGAAGCAAAAGGACAAGAGGACATGGCACCATTTAATCCTAAAGTGTCCTTTGTACTGGACAGTAGAGAAATGCAGTATAAAAACTTTAAAAAGCAAACACTCTTGCAGCAGAAGCCCATGGCAGAGGGACAAGGAGAAATGGCTTAAATGGCTTAAGCTAGAGAAGGGTAGATTTAGATGAGATATCAGGAAGAAATTCCTCCCTGTGAGGGTGATGAGGCCCTCGCATAGGGTGCCCAGAGAAGCTGTGGCTGCCTCTGGATCCCTGGAAGTGTCCAAGGCCAGGTTGGACAGGGCTTGGAGCAGCCTGGGACAGTGGAAGGCGTCCTTGCCCAGGGCAGGGGGTGAAATGGGATGGGCTTTAAGGTTCCCCCAACCAAACCATTCAGTAATTCCATTATTCTACTTGGATGAACTTTTCCATGGTCACAGCAGTGGAATGCGCCCAGGGAACAGCTCAGCTCAACAGTGCAGCAGTTTTCCTTAGGGGTTTTGTGGATCCCAACCTTTGCAGGAGAAAGGGCAGCACAAAAGCAGCACAAACCCTCCCAGCTACCCTAGAAGTGACACAGAAGTAATTCCGTGGCTCTGCCTCCTGTTATTGGAATGTTAAAGGTTGAAAACTGTGGTAAATATGAAAACTACAGAATATGAACGACATACTCAGCCTCCTAAAAATCATTGGTGCATCTTCCCTCTTGCACACAGGCAGGAATTCCTCAGGGAGGTGTTGTTCTTGGCATAGGGAATAGCTACCCATGGGAACCATCATGCGAGGGTTGATGTGTCCATTCCTATCCATGAGCTCCTTCAGCTTCTTCACAGACTCCAGGGGGAATTTCAAGTCTCCATCCTGTGCAGAACCAGAAAGAAGAGGTATCAGGAAGTCAGGCCTTTGGCAAATCCATTCAATTTCAACCGAGACCTCTCCCAAAAAATATAACAGAGGGAAAAGATGATGTTGAAAGAAAGCCCAGATAAAACCTATGCTGAGTGAAGGCAGAGGACAGAGGGAGAATTTGAGCCTGGCTCATCCCCATGAGACAGACTCATAAAATCTGGGATAGGAAGATCTAGGCTGGGAATCTTCAACCTAGAAAAGTGATGAACTGGGAAATATCACAGAATCCTGGAATGGGTTAAAGCTCTTCTCATTCCACCCCCTGCCACAGTCAGGGACGCCTTCCACTAGACCAGGTTGCTACAAGCTCCATCAGCACTTCCAGGGATATATGGTAGAGATGTACAAAATCATTACTTGAATGGGGGTAAATGAGAATTTATTTGCTTCACCCTTTCTCCTAACACAGCAGTGGAAGTATCAAGTGTTGGCTATGACCTGGCAGGGTGTGGCCACACAAAAGCAGCTCTTCTTTCACACCACACGTTGTTGAGGGCTTAAACCTTTCACCCCAAGACATTGGAAAATTTCCATTAATTTAGAATCCCAGAATCTCTTGCGTTGGAAGGTGCCCACAGGGATCGTTGACTCCAGCTCCTGGCCCTGCACAGATAGCCAACAATCCCACCCTGTGGCAATTTAAAACTTGCCCACACAGTTTGTGAAAAACAAGCTTTTGGAAACATAAATATGGCACTTCTGACTCAAAGCTCACACCAGAAACTTAAGGAAGCTGGGACAGGACTCTGAGAAATATTACTCTATGTTTTAGTTGCTTCTCCCTGTGCATCAGTTAAGGGTCATTCCCTCAAGAGACTTCCCCTTTTTGAGGTAATAAATTTAAGTTGCAGGTGTTGCAGCTGTTTAACCAGGCACACAAAGTCTGTACCCATCTGCAGATAATCAGAGTTTGGCCTAAAAGACAAATAAACATTTTCAAACTGATTTTTATCTGCTGTTTTAACATGGTTTCGTGGCCAACATATAGTCAATAAGGTGATGAGGGAGGTTCCAACCTGATGGCAAGGTTTGGAACGAAATGAACTTTAATGTCCCTTCCAACTCAAACCATCCTGGGATTCTAGGATCAAGTAACAGCTCCTCATCCAAAGAAATAAAATTCAGTGACTCTGATACAATGATGACCAAATATAAGCATTTGTTTCACATCCCCATGAGTCCAGTGGGGAATGGTGTGAGATAAGTGGGGAGGGAATTTGATTCTGACTGGGGTTTTGGAGGGTTTTTTACAGAATCACATTATTGTGGCATTAAAGGTTTAGAAAACCCAATCAGATAGACTTTGGATATGCATTTATTAACCAAGTCAAATTCTTTTCTCTTGCAATCGGTTTATGATCTTCATCAGGTTAATTTATCAGTTGAACTCAATGATCTTATAGATCTTTTCTGACCTTAATGATCTATAAAGGTTAATCAGGCATTGGCAACAGCTGCCCATGGGAGTGGTGGAGTCACCATCCCTGAAAGTGTTCCAAAAACATGTGGATGAGGCACCTGGGGACATGGTGGATCTCTCTGTGCTGGAAGAACAGTTGGATTTAATGATCTTAAAGGGCTTTTCCAACCTAAACAACTTTCTGATTCTGTGATCAGCCTGGCTGCCTATGAAAAATTCACTTTTCCTATAAAGGCAGCTCTGGATTCAGCTGTTGGTCACACAGCTAAGAAGCAAAACCCACAGAACTAAAAAAAGAGTGGATTTCCAAGGGCATAATTTTAGGGAAACCAGGAAGTGGGAACAAACCCTGAGATCTGCAGGTCCTGGGGAAAAAAAGAACAAAGGAACAGCAAAACAGAGACAAAACCCTGCCACCTCAAGTAAGGAAGATGTATTAGAGAGAGCTAAATATGACATACTATGGGACAAGGAAGGGAAGTCTTGGGAGTGAATTCAGGGAAGAAGAGTGGAAGCCAATTTTGTGCAGTGAAGAATCAAAGAATCAGTCAGACCTCAAAGACCTTAGGTGAAAGGAATGCAACGCACTCAGAGTTCACTGCAAGTACAGTGGGGAAAACACAGATTTAATGATTAACGAGAGGAGAATTCCAGCTCAAACTCCAGAGATAACACTTCCTACTCTTTTATGCAACCTAGAAGCAGCCATTCTCATTTATGATATCTTTTTTTATGGCTACAAGTAGAAAACGGAGATCTTTTTCACTGGGTAGGAAGCTGTTTGCTCCTCTGGAGACTGTAAATGTTGAAGAATGGCTTGAGAGAAAGGAATAGCTTTAACCTGCTACCTCTGGATATCCCTGTCATCCAAAGGACAAAAAAGAGGCTAGTCCAGGACCCAAAGATGATATCTTATTCCTGGAAACTGCTGCACACATATAGAAAGTATCAATAATTGTTTAACAAGTGTTAGTTTTCCTGGCCCCCAGACGAAGTTGTTTACATTGCAATCAGATTGAAACCTCCCATACTGTCTCTCAGGATGAGTTCAGAGAGATCCAAAGCTACTGTCTCTCAGGATGAGTTCAGAGAGATCCAAAGCTTTCCCAATGACAGACCAGGGCCCTGAAGTACCTTCTTAACCTCTTACACATTGCATGGAATATCAGACATAGATGCTGTGTACTTGCAAAATTTCACAGAAGCTTCTCTAATCACTTCTCTGCCTATTAATATTTAATTGGATCCAGCTAAGCTCTTCTTTGTCCTTTCTTGACAGGTTCCATCCCATAAATGGACAGATCATTTCCACAAAGAACTTCCTGCCTAGAACTAGGTAACACGACACAATTTCTCCTTTGTCACACCTTGTTTGCATCACTCTCTAAAGTCAGCACCTTCACTGCACGTGGCTTTAGGTCTAGTGGAAAACCCGGGACATGAAGCACCTCAGTCCCTAAGGGATTTCAGAGCAGAGATATGGCTGGAGAAGGTAAATAAACACTAGCAGCATTTAGTGATACCTGAAGTGTTTTACAGAAGGAAGATCCAGAGCACAGAGACATGCAGGTGCAAATCAAGGCAGAGTAAAGCAAAAATTCAGGTCTACTAATTTAGTTCAAGATTCCTGTTTCAGCCAGAAGTTTAAAAAATATCAGCACTTTGTTGAATTTGTAATAACAACAAATGAAAGAAGAAAAGCTCACCTGAACATAGACTGCCTGGGAGATGTGCAACAGGACAAGGGCTGCCAGGACTGTCCAGGAAAGAAAGCTTTTCATAGTGCCAACAAAGCCAAGCCTTTCCTGACCTGGGCAGATTTTATTTCCTCTGCCTTTGGCCTTTCTCTGCCTTTTTTGTGTCTCTCAGACTGCGCCTTCTTCTCCTGAGCTCTCAGACTGCCCAGCAGTCAGAGCTTTATAAAGACTTCACACAGCATTAGGTTGGTAATCCATTAATCCAAACTTTTTATTGACATATCATAAACCCTGAGGGGACTCTCAGTTATCTGCTCAGTAGCACAGCTGGTCAGTCACACCCAGGCAGATCCTGGATTTTATGAGTTGTTCGCACTCAGAGACACTGTTCATGACATGGGTGGGCAAAACATTACAAACTGGAATAAATAAATGGTGGAGATTGAGCTCAGGCAACACCTGAAAGTCCCCATAATGCTGGCCACTTTCTGCAGAGCTGGGAGTAAAAAAAGAAGTTTGGAAGAAGACAAAAAAAACCCTATTTCAGTCAATTGCCTGTTCTGGGAGTGACAGGAACTAAGAGTCATGGAATCATGGAATTATTCAAGTTGGAGAAGCCCTCTAAGATCATTGAGTCCAACCATCAACCCAGGACCTGGTGGTAGGTTGTTCACCATTAACCTTGTCCCCAAATGCCACATCTACACATTTTTCGAACATTTCCAGGGATGGAGACTCCACTGCTGGCCTGGGCAGACACTTTCTGTGCCTGGCCACCCTTTCCACAAAGAGATTTTCCCAACATCCAGCCTAAAGTTCCCCTGGCACAATTTTCCCTGATCCTGTCCCTGTCAGAGCTTTGGAGAGAGCTAAGGACCAAGGCTGAGAGCCCCAGGCTGTGCGTGCACGTGCCCAGCTATGAAATGTCATCTCTGTTCTTTGCAGCCCCTACTTAAAATGCATGTGTTAAAACACGTGGGGGGTGTCATTAAGGGCAAAGGCTGCCAGGAATCAAAACCATTTCTCCATGACGTCCATGCTTATATGGAAACATGGAAAAGTCACATGGGTGGAGAAGAACCAATGTGCCTCAAGTCAGTTCTGACATCAAGCTCAGGTCCTCAGATCTGTAAAAGATTTCTGGAATTTTGTGGGTTTGGATTAACATAGGCACCAGGAGAACTATGTTCCTGATTCCAGCAGAACAGGAGAGGGCAACAGTCACCCACTGAGCACCTTCCTCAAATTTCAGCAGTGTTTTATGCCCAAAAATGCTTCCAGTCTCACTGTAACCCAAATTATTGTTCAAGTTACAGTGAAAAACATCTTTCTGCTTGGAGTAAACTTCCAGAATCCAAAGCAGCCAAGTCCCCAATCAGGGGGCTTTGAGGGACGGAATGGGACTTTTCTGATTCAGTATAACCCAAAAATTACTGTAGAGTTGAAGCTGAGCTAACAATGCAGAGTATGAGCTGACAGACTTGGCTTCTCTCCTCTCCACCAGCCTCAGCCACAAAATTTGAACCCCTGGAAGGATCTTTATTCCAACAAAACAAGCCTATTTCCTCTTCTGTAATGATTTCTCTGCTTTCTGCTGCCCTGGCAGCAGCCAACAGCATTTGCCACCCCACAGCAGCTCAGGCCTCTGCCCTTAATTACTTTAATGTGGGTCAAGGGTGGGACAGCAAAGGGGCAGAGCAAAAATCTCTGAGAACATTTCCCTTGGGAATTTTTACAACCACTTTCTTCTCTAAAACTTTGTTTATCCTCAGCCCATTAAACCCTGAGTACAGTTTGGTGGAAACTTAACAGATTAAAGAGGGATTGAGGGAACAAGAGAATTGTTAAGATTGAAAATAAACAAGAAGGTCAAGTCCAACCTTGGGCAGAACCCAAAGAGATGGACAGGTGGTTTTGGAGAGGTGTCACAAGAACGCTGAACCAACAGACACAGCAGACAGAGTAGGAGTCAATGGTTCCATGTCCAGTGAGGCGTGGTGTGCCTTAGGGCCCTGCCTTGGACCAGTGCTCTTTGATGCCTTATCAAGGACACAGTGAGGAGGAGCACACCCTTAGCCTGCTGGCAGGTGACAGGAAGCTGAGCAGGACCCAAAGTGGTGCACCCAAAGGATAGGGCCATCCTGGAGGACCTGGCCAAGCTTGAGATTTGGGGCCATGGGAATCTCATGAGGTCCTGCACATGAGTTGGGAAAACCCTCAGTCTCAATCCAGGCAGGGAATGAAGGGCTTGATAGCAAAACTTGGGGTAGAAGAAGGACAAGAGAGGGACAAGCTCACTTCTGGACTGATACTGCAGTTGCCATAACCCATGTTCAGGACCTTGTATTTGTCAACCTTGATCCTCCTGAGGTTCCCATGGGCCTATTTCTCAAACTTGGCCAGGTCCCATTGAATTGCATCCTGTCTCCCAGGTGTGTCACCTACACTGGTCAGCTCAGGGTCATCTGCCAACATGCTGAGGGTGCCCTCGACCCCACTGTCAGTGTTGTTGATGGAGACATTTAAAAGCACTGGTCCCAGTATGGACCCCCTTTGTCTCTGAGCTCCATCTGAGCCCTTCACCTTCGTGGAGCTCCAGCTGCTTCACCAAGCTCGGGGGGACCAGGAACTCTTCAGCTGGAGATATAGGGAGGAGGGCAGACACCTTGTGCTCACCAGGTCTGCTCCTGGAGGTTCTGGTCCTGGTGGCCTCTGAGACACTCCTGCCCTGCAGACCCAGCCCCACTAGCCCAAGACTTGGGAGAGGCCAGGGCCAACACCAGAGGAACCCACCTGTGTCCCCACCTCCCCCTCCTGCCTGTGGCCATCCTGGAAGGTGGATCTGGTTGTCCCAGTCCCAAGCTCATTCCCTGGTGTGCGGAACCAGTTCCCACCCTGAGGTGAAAGACCTCTATATCTTAATTTCAGTTTGTGCATAGCAGGACCTGGGTGGTTCCCACAGATGTTGGCTCCCTGTTCAGTGAAGCTTTATGTTATTTATAGCAAAGGCCTCGATATTTATTGGCTGCATGTTACAGAATTCTCTAATTAATACTCTATCTTCTATTCCTTAAATGATTGCCTCCCATCTCACACTAATTATTCCATAGGCTCAGTCTTGTCCATCTTTGGAGTTAGTGGGATTCTGGAATCAGTGGCCATGAGTCGGTTGTCATGATCTCCTCCTGCCAAAATCACCTTTCATAGAGTGCACACTTCAGACCGATGAGCTGGCCCTGTTTGTCCCTCCCTAGACCCTCTGCAGCCCTCAGAGACACCTAAACAGGCTGAGGAGATGGGCAGGGAAGAAGTTCTAAAGTTCAACAAGGGAAATGCAGATACTGCATCTGTCGAGGTACAACCCCAGGCAGCAGCACAGGCTGAGGGTGACCTGCTGGAGAAGGACCTGAGGGTCCAGGAGACAATGAGCTGTCCCTGAGCCTGGGAGGCCAAGGAGATTAATGGGATCCAGGGGGAATCATGAAGAGCATTGCCAGCAGGTCAGGGAGTGCTCCTGCCACTCTGGTCAGCCCTGGGAGGCACATCTGGAGTGCTGTGTCCAATTCTGGACTCCTCAGGACAGGAGAGACATGGAGCTCCTGGAGTGGGACCAGTGGAGGCTGCGGAGATGATGAAGGGCCTGGAACATCTCCCTGCCAAGGAAAGACTGAGGGAGCTGAGGCCTTGAGAGGAGACACAGCTAAGGGCCCTCATCCCTGTCTCTCACTGTCTGCAGGGAGGGCTCATAGCAGGGACCAGGATCTGCTCCAGGAGGCCCAGCAATGGGACAAGGCGAATGGACAGGAATTGATGCCCAGGAAGTTCCAGCTGAACATGAGGTAGAACTTCCTCCTAAAGTGATGGAACTGAGAACAGGTGGTCCAGGGAGGGGGTGAAGTCTCCATCACCGAGGATATTTCAGACCCATCCAGATACAATCTTGTACCATGTGCTCTGGGGTGGCCCTGCTAGAGCAGGAAGGCAGGGCCAGATGAGCCACTGGGGTCCCTTCCAACCTCACCCATCCTGGGATTCTGTGACTGGAGTCGTCCATGTCCACCAGTCCCATCTGGATTACCAAACACTGTTGTCCCAACCAAGGGCTCAATCCCTGATATGGAGCAGCAACTCACACACAAAGGTGATGGATTTCTAGGTCTTTATTCCTTTTTTCATGGTGCCATGTCACTGTCCTCATGTTCGAGTTCTGCTGTTGTCTCTTCGTGGATCTCCAGTGGCTTCACCAAACTTGAGGTGGATCCAGGAACTGTTCAGGATTCAGGAAGTACAGGGAGGAGGGCAGAGAACTTCTGCTCACCAAGTCTGCTCGTGGAGGTTCTGTAGTCTCCCAGACACCCCAGCCCTACAGAGCCATCCCCACAAGACCTGGGAGAGGCCAGGCCAGACAGCAGAGGAACCCACCCATGTTCTTACCCACCCCATCCTGCCTGAGGCTGTCACCTGCAGCCAGAAGGCATGTCTGGTTCAGGGACAGCTCCAGGACTCCCCACACCCACCCAGCAGCACAGATAGTGCTTTCCAGGAGCTGCTGCCAGGCAGGGGAGGAATGTGCCACCACAGGAAAATGCATCCAGCGCTTGGAAATACTTACTGAGGGAATTGTCATCGGACCATTTCTGTAACTTGTTGATCTGCAAGGCCTTCATGCACTGCTCCCGGGCAACTTTGTATGGCTGCAAATTTAGCAGGACTTGTTTTGCTCGTGGGGTCCTGCAAGGCAGGGATAGATTCCCCTGTCACTCCCTGGCTGGAACCCTTCCTGGCCCAGCTCCTGCTGCTCCACGTGTCTCCACGTTCTCTTTAGCCCCACCACCAAAAGGGGCACATGGGACACCAGGATCAGGGGCTACCCCAGGGCATACCCATGTTAGGGGATGTCCAAGGGACCGTATCCAGCCCAGGGCTCAGGGCTCCACTTCCTTAATCACAAAGGGGTCCCTCCCACCTTAAAACCCTCCTGGCACTGACAGGTGCTGCCACACTCTTACCTTGGCTGTGGTCTTCCTCCAGGAGGGGACAGTGTCTTCTCCTTTCTCTCTGGGGACAAAGCAGCAGCCACTCCTGCCACAGCAGCCACCCTCTCCTTCCTTAGCTTTTCAAATCCTCCAGGACAGAAGGCAGCAGCCTTCCCCAGATTCCTCTGCCCTTCCAGGGGTGGAAGCTGTTGCATGAAGCAAAGGGAAAGCAGCTCAGACATTTTGGCAACAAGGGTCCCATCCTGCAGCCCATGACCCAGAGACAGTCTGGATGCCTCCACTCTCCCCAAGATATCTTGGCAGTGACCCTCTGCTTAATGAAGAAGTTTGGACACCATAGAGGTTTAGCTCAGAGAAAGATTCCTAGCAACACAGCACAGAATGATGAAGCCATTGCCAGGACTGAATGGAGGACCCAAAAGACATCCCAGAATGGACACATCCAAAGGTACCCTTTCAACAGCCTCCCTGCAGTGATGCAGGACATGATCCTACATACATGTCACATACCTGGACACGTTTTCCCTGCCTGGTGGGAGCTGCCAGGCCAGCTTGGGGTGCTTCCATGCCCTTGGTGGCTCTACCCTTCTTTACAGAGTTCTCAATTGGAGGCAGCAAACTGCAAAGACACAACACAAGCGTTTTGTCTGAGAACAGTGAGAGCATCTTCTCCAGTGAGAGCATCTTCTCCAGTGTGTTTTCCAGGCCTCTCCAAAACACTGCTGCCCACTTCCCATGCTGTGGGAAGGGCCAAGACCATAGGCATGTGCCCATATCTGCTCTCCGTAAGTACAGGCAGCATGGCCAAAGGTGACAGCTCCTCACACCTGTCCAGGAGCATGGAATTACTGAAAGGCAGCTCTCCCAGACTCTCACCTCCCTCTCTGCACTCCACCATCAGCCTTTTTCTTTTCTCTTCCCATCACTTTCACATCACATATCCGACTTGGAGAAAGACGTGGACGAAGAAAGAGGTGTTGGCTGGGAAGGTTCCCTGAAGAAAAAGAGGAAGCTCCTCTCAACTGCATCTCCAGAACACTTTGGGCGCGAGGGATCTCCCAGCCATCCTGTCCCAGCCCAGTCCCCTTCCCTGAGGGCTGTGCCGCTCCATAATCCTGTCCCACTGCTTCCTTGGGTCCCCGTTCAGAAAAAGAGTGACCTGCTGGGACACTTGTCTGGCAGGAGACAGAATTCTTTTTGGCATGGAGGACGTCATTTCCTAGAAGGGAACTTACCCAGCGTTTTTTGGTGCTTGGTGTTGGTCTTGCTTCTGGTTCCAGTGCCTTGTAGGGAAGCACTTACAGGATGTGGCTGGGACTTCCCATCTGCCTTCACAAAGCTACAAAGGAGGTGGTGACACCAGTTTGAATAAGGACAGCAGAGTCCATGGCAGCGTCTGGGAAGAAGCTGTTCCCAGGCATCCAGTTTTCCAAAGGAAACTTAACACTGGAGCATGGGCAGAAGAGTCTCCCTCCACAGGGCTCCTCTCAGCCAGGTCTGGGATCCCGCTTGTCAGAGATGCTTTCCAGGGAAAACAAACCCGCAGTGACTGAGAACATCCCAGGCTCTGGGGCCCGTTGGTTCTCAGTCTTTCTCGAATGAAAAGAAAGTAGCTGGTGAAGCTGTCGGCTCCATGGCCCCCATCTGTGCCTCTGGGGTAATTCCCACAGAGGTGGGAAGGTAAAGCAGGCCCTCTTCCCAAGGAATCCACCTGAAGACACTCCCCAAAGAAACCAGAATGGCCATGGACCTTGCACAATTTCAATTCCACCTCCAAAATTACATACATCCAAGGATTCCTCCCACATGGAAGAAGAAGCCAGGACGAAAAGCTCTTGCTGGTTGTCACCCCACCATGTACAGAAACAATTGCACTCACTGTGGCAGCACTAAGACACCTCCAGGTGGAATCTGGGAAATGTCCTTTTCCATGTGGGCTATGAATAATGGCTTCAGATTTGGTGACTGCAACAGGGACAGAGACATGGCAGGATCTACAGGGAATTTACCTGCTGCTCACAAGGCACAAAACCCCTCTTCCACTCCCAGCCCCTGCTGCCTCCCCTCAACTGCCAGCCCCAGCTCTCTCTCCACCACCCTGTGCCCCACATTGTCCCAAATCCATGAGCCATCCTCAGGATCTTGGCATTTTGGGACAACAAGGCCACGCCAGCAGCCTGGACACACAGGAGCCAAAGCCCAGGGCTAATTCCCTGGGAGCAGGAGGGCAAGCTCAGCTGCCAGAACCATGGAAAGCTGCCCAAGGCCATGGCTGTGTCCCCAGGAGTTTGAGGGCACATAAAATACATGCCAGACTCACCTGGAGCAAACCCTCTGCCAGGTGCTGTGACTGAGCCACCTTTTGGACCAAGTCTTCAAAGAACCTCATGACTACATGGTTTCCCCGGCAGACCAGGATGCCAATGTCCTTGAACACAAAGTCGAAGTTCTGGCCACTGGACAAGGCCCACTCACAGATCTTTAGTGTGGCCTCGATGCACATCATGATGGTGGCCTTGGGTTTGTGCAGGCGCAAGGCCACCTCAGCACAGACCAACTCGTCTGCTTTGGAGAGTCCTGTGGAGAAACCAACCAACACAAGGTCACTCACTCTGTCCTTCTGTGGTCCCTTGAGAGTCCACTAATCTCCTCCCACCACAGTGACTCTTCACCCAGCAGTAAATGCCCTGCTTTTGTGCCATGAGCCCCTGTCCCTGAACTGTCAGCTCAACCACCATGCTCCAGCAAGAATGCTGGTTCCTGCCTTCCCAAGGTGGTGGGGATCATCAGCCTCTTCAGTGCCAGGAGATTGTCAAAAACACTTCCAGGAGCTCTCAAGCAGCAGCCAGTATATCGTGGGTACCCAGGGAGCCCTGGAGGGACTGCTGGAGGGACCCATCCCTGTCCAGCAGGAGCACAAGGCTGAAGGGCTCATCTTACCAGGCACGGGGCTTTTCCCATGGACACGCTTCTTCCCCACCATAAATGGCTTGTTCAGATCAAACTCCAGACTGTCTGCCATGAAACCTTCCCCTTCTCCATGCCAGATAGGTCTTTTCATAATGTGGATGGTACCCAGGCCCATCAGCCCAACTCTCTGGAAGCAAAAGCAGGCAATCAGAGGGTAAACAGGAGGGAAGGCTAAGAGTGATCTGTGGCCTTTCCACCCCTACAGCTCCAAAGCCTGACGTGGACCCCCCAGGAAAACTTTGGAGAAGAGCCTTTCACTCCAGATGGTTCCTCACTCCCTCCTCTTCAGGATCTGCAGGGTGCAAGACATGTGGGAGAAAGTCCTGGAGCCTGGGAAAGCCCAAGGAGTGCAGGAGTACTGCTTGGGTGTCCCTCCTTTCCAGCCGTCCTGTGGAAGACTCCAAAGAGGAAATCCAACATTCTTCTACTCAAGGGCTGCTTGACTTCTTGCCTGCATTCACAATGCGTCTCTGGCTAAAATGCAGGGTCTGCCTGGGACACCTCTTCTGCCCTCTAGGCTGGATGAGAGCCAGGCAGGAAGGGGAAGGATCAGGAAACCCCCATGATCTGAGGGAGGACCATGAGGAAACCAGCCCCACCTTCTTCAGCAGCAGGTCTTGGTGATAGCACTCAGATACACTGTCCCAAACTTTAGTGATTTCTGTCAGAAGAAGAGAAAGGGCCATGCTGAAGTTACGAAGTTTATCATCCCCCCCCTTCACCTTCCTAATTGCAGATCCCCTTCTCCAAAGGGACCCTCTCCCTGGGCAAAACCACCAACACATTCCTACCCCCAGGACCTCGGGGGATCTCAGACTTTACCATCCTTGTGGAAGTACACAAGATCTGGAGACAGCGCAAGGAGGAAGCCAGGGAAAAGCTCTGTCATGGCTGCAGCTCCTTCTGCCCGACTACTTCCTCTCCTCCTGTCCATCCCACCATGGCCCTAGGACGGGAGGCCTGGTGGAACAGTGGGGCACCGCAGCTGGGCTGGTCTCTGGCTCTCAGGGAAATGGGTGTTATGGTTCCATGGAGGCAGAACGTCTCACTGTGACCTCACATGTCTCACCAAGGGGCTGCAGAGCCCCACACAGATACCGCCCTGCCCCCAGGCTTCACCCTACAGGAGAAGTAGGCTGCACTCATCATTTTGAGGGACTGCTCCCACCCAGGCACTGCCCTTTCCGACGAGTCTCCCAGAGCCGCTGCTGAAGCACACAGGAAAACAGAATGGAAATCGATTTAGAATTATTTACATGAAACCGTGGATATTGGGAACTGCTGTGTTATGGGCTAGAAATTTGGCAGAAAACAAACCTAATGTCCCAGCTGGTCCTGAGGGATCAAAGGGGCTGGGGCAGCAGGGCTGAATTCCTGATAGGAGCCAGTTCCACCTGGCAAGTCTGGTCATATCCAGTGGAAACTTTCACAGACACAAATTCACCAACAGTGCAGTTTATTGGAGCAGCAGGTTACAGACTCTTGTTAGACTGAGAGTGATAAACGCACTGGACCTATAAAAACTGCACAGGACTAATGTTCCCAGGAATTCTCTGATGCATCTGGAGGCAGAAATCTTTGCTAAGGGGTGTCCATGCTTTGGGGAGGAGGGAGGAGCATCCAATTTATCTGGAAATGAGGGATATCAAGAGAGTCATAATGAGAGAGATTACAAAGGCTTTTGGCCTTGGCAAAGGCAGAACAGAATGTGACACCTGAGCAGCAAGCCCTCTTCCACCCAGCAGATTCCAAGGATAGGGATTATGTGGCCTCTGCCTGATAACCCATCACCCCCTCAGCAGGTGATCACACCCAGGTACTCCCATCACCAAATATCCCATGGAAATCCCTTATCTCAGACTGTGGGCCTCATTCCTACACAGGCACAGAGCTGCAGCACAGGAGACTTCCAAGGCACTGGTGTTTGCAAGGTCAGGAGATGACTGGCTTGAGTCATCAGTAAATTTCCATCCTGGCCAGAATCCAATTTATCCAAAACATTTGGAAATTGTTTTCAAAACTCCAGCAACAATGGCACTGTTCCACTCATGCTCTGACTCAGGCAGGGACTGTTCCAAGGCTGTCAGGGAATGAATGATTATCCTTTGTTCCTCATCTTGGACAGGCAGCTGCTGTTCCTGTTATACTCAGGAGTTCCTGGTACACTTCACTTAATCAGGGACTTATCAGGAGCTTCCATAGAGCAGGAGGAGGAGGAGGATGTACCACAATAGGTTATTGCAAAAACAGCTATAGGGCTGATACTGGATGCATGAATAGTCCATGAAGTGTAGTTCTGGCGGGGTTCACCCAGAGCAGGGTCCATTGAGTATGACATACAGGGTAACTGATCCCAGTTAACTGAATCCACGATTACCAATTACAGGGATCCTATTTACTTCATACCAGATCCATTCCTGTGCTGGGCATAAGGAAAACAAACCTGCAGTACAGCCCCAGGGAGCTCCAACAATGCCACTACAATCACAGATTCATTTCTTGTGTCAAAACACTCAACATGGCCTTATCCAGGGATTTACCCTGGGGCATCCCTTCTGGGCAGAATGAAGGGAACAACATCACCAATCTGTACCTCCAAATTCCAGGTTGAGCTCTCATCCCCTACGTAGGTGTAAAATTGGGGTACGTATCTTCCCTTATTAACCACAACTGTGCAAAGTGCTGTGGGTAGGGTCGTGGTCAAACCTCCTGCTCTCTGAGACCCCAGTGTGTGGAGGCTGATAAGCCTGCCCCAGCTCTGCCCTAGAGGGATTTCCCTTGAACTGACTGTGGAAGCCCATAAGTTTACCTCGACCCCCCTGGAGAGATACCCCTCAGATGGGCACATCCTCCTGGCCATGGTGAGCTATCCCAAGGGGCTTCAGCTATCTCACCATGCTTTGGTGCCCATGTCGATTCTTTGTATGCTACTGGTCCTTCCCCCTTTGGTACCACCCTTGCTTTCCCCATAAAACCCCTGTTTTTTCCCCGGTTCAGCGAGGCAGGTGTCATCACTGGCCCCCTTCTCAGAGCTGCTGGACAACAAAGGAACCTCTGTGGAACAGCCATACAACACTTCTGTCTCTCTGTCCCTGAGTTGGCCTGGGGTGTCTTAGCAAGGCAGAGCTGGAATCACAGAGCTGAAATTCACTGCTAAGAGCTGACTGCTTGCAGCCACAGGCTGTCCACCTTGCTGAGCCCCTGGAAGGTTGTCCCTTGTGAGACCCTCTCTGGGAAGTTCACACCAATGGAGCCCTGGCTGCCATAGCAGTGTACAGAATATTCCTTGGTAGGAGTTGTTGGGCATCAAGCAGAAAAACGAGGCCATGCCCTGCTCCATATTCCTCTCAATGCCACAACAACACAAACCACAGACTTCCCTCTGGTTCCATAGTTGCACCATGGCCCTGTCACATTTGGAGCTTTTCATTTTCTTCCCTGTTTTATGCTTCCAGCACTGGGAAGGTCCCAGGCCACATACTATGGTTGTTTTGGGCCCCTCACTGCAAGACAGGGCGCAAGACTCAAGGCATTAGAGGGTTGTGGAAAATTGCCCATCCTGTTGTGTGGGCACAGAGCTGCTGTGAGGTGAGGAAGAACTGATGGAGCTGTTCCAAGCCATCTCTGAGGTGGGATAACCCAGGCTCTTGGGTTAATAGATGCTTGGAATGGATGAAAGGACACTGAATGATTGGTGTTTACACACATACATACATCTATATTTATATATATGTCAGATTTATTTTACTACTGGTTGCAATGGAAATCACCTATTGTAGCCATTTTGGTTATTTCCTTTAGAAATATACCAATATAAAAGTATAGAAATAACACTTTAGAAAATACATGAGGAAAAGAAAGAAAAAAAAGAAAGGATCAGAGTAGAGAGTGGAGAGGAAAGGTCTCACCAGCCATGGGTGCAATTACAAGAGTTGGTTGTTGCAATTTCAATGTCCACGGTCAAAGTGATGGTCACAGTCTGGATCCATCAGGTGCGGGGGAAGCTCCAAAAACACAAAGTTCCGTGGGTTAATAGAGGCTCAGGCTCAATGTGAACACCCAGGTACCTTCCCAGGGGTCAGGAGTTTTACACTGTCTGATGTAATACTGGGGTCATGCCCAGTTCTCTGGTGGAAAGCCCAGAAATGAGTCTGTGGGCCCTTCAGGGTCTCTGATGGTTTGTGCCCCTTCTAAGACCTGACTCTGCCTCTCCCTGAGTGTGGCTGAGCCAGTTCTGCCCCATCAGAAGGGATGAAACCCCTCAGCCCTCCATGTGAGTGTTTCTGAAACCTTCACTGGGGTCTGTGGTAGCCAAAGGCTCAGTGGGGGGCTCTGAGGTAGCCCAGGGCACAGCCAGAGGGCTGAGGATGCACTAAACTCCCCCAAGCAATGCTCACACACACTGGGGTGTGCAGAGGAGGCCAAAGGCACACCCAGGCCTCTGTGACACAGAAAAGCCCATGGAGAGGTTCTGTGCACCCCGAAAGGCTCCTTGAGCACTATGGGGAGCCCAAACAGGCACAGCCAGGGTCCAGGGGCACCCAGAGGAAGCGCTGGGTCCTGGGCATGGCACAAAACAAACCAAGGGGTGGGGGCAGCCCCCAAAATGGACACCAGGGCTAGGGATACCCTCTAAAGGACAGCCAGGGTGCAGAGGGGGCACACAGAGGAGTCCAGAGCTCCCCAAAACACACAGGGAGAGCCCACAAAGCACAGAAAGGCCCATGGAGATGTGCAGCCATACTCTGTTCCCACCTGATCTGCAGTTCTGATCCCGCTGCTTCCCTCTTGGCATCCTCAGACCCCCTCCACTCCCTGTTTTGCATGGCCTGATCCCTCCCACTCCCACCCAAGCATCCTCAGAGACCGTCTATTCCAGATGTATCTTATTGCCTTTCCCGGATGCTCATATCCCTCCTCTCTTCTGCCCCTATTCCATTTTCCTTTGCCCTTTCATCTACCTTTATCTCATTTCTGACCCCTCTGCCCATAGCATCCTGTGCCCAGAGCTTCTCTTTCCTCCCATCTTCCTTCCCTGCACATTCCCACCCTCTCCCCAGTGCTCAGATATCTCATTCACATCTGCACAAAGCAAAGGGAATTCTGAGAGCATGGAAAAAGGGGAATGACAGTGTGTGGGCACGGATTGTGGGCACAGGGTAAAAGGGAACTTCTCCAAGTTTTATTTCAAAATTTATAGATTTGGACTGGACAGGGAACTAGACTTGAGGGAAAACACCCTTCACCCCACCCCTCTACCACTGTACTGAGTTCATCTACAAATTCCAGCCTCCAGTGGATCTGGGATCACACACACATTTACAGGTGGGCAAGTAAAAGAAAGCTGTGGAACTATTTAGTTGGAATATATCCCACAAATCACGGGGTCAGTCCATTTGGCAATTTTCTTTGCAGGTTCTGTCATCCCATGGCCCTAGGAGCCCAAGTCCTGCAGTTCAGGTAAGGCTGCACCAACATTCCCAGCTCAGAAGTTCTCAGAGCCAAGGCTCTCGTCCTGCAGAGGTGAGGCCGTGGGGGCTGTGCTGTCACCAGGAGAGGCCACATTCAGGTACCCGATCTCCGAAGGCTGCGAGGGAGACAGGCAGAAGGAAGAATCCTGGCTCTCAGCCTCTCCCTCAGGTTTCATGTTCTGTGGGGCCTTCAGGGCGCCAAGGGACTCTGGGACATCTTGGGCTGGGAAGCTGGAAAATTTCCATTTTATGTCATTCTGTGGAGTCTGGGTGACCCTTACCCAACACGTCTGAGCAGCACAGGACAATGTTGATGCTCCTCTCTTGGATCAAGGCTCCCTCTCCAACCAAGGAAGGGAAACACCCTCAGCCAGCCCAGAGGGTTGCTGGTCTAGGTCCAACCTGCTTGGACCATCCTTCACCCCAACAGCACCTGGGGCTGTGACTAAATCCCCTGAGCTGCATCTCCAGAGCTGCAGGGTCCCTCTACCTTCCCCTCATCTGGTTTGGCATGGATTGGAATGGAGGAACACATCCCAGAATGATGTGGGACACAGCTCTGGCCATACTAGGACTTCAAATCTTACCACCTCTTGTATAAAGACTCCTCCAAAGCTCCTGAGCATCAAGATTCCTAAATCCCCGTGTTCCCTATAGTATTCTGAAAATCTGACTTCCCCATCCCATCAGCTGACTGGTTTTAATACCATTTTAATGTCATTTTAATAGCATTTCCCCTAAAATTTGACGAAAAATTAACAAAAAAGGCCTCTGGGAGGTGAAAGCACAGAGTGGAGCAGCCAAAATGCTCAAGTGGCTCCTCCTCCCCCCCACAATACCTGGCACGAGGAGGTGGCAACACCTTACTCTGTGGTTGGCGTTCAGAGCCAGGAGCAATCTTCGAGTCCTGGAAGGAGGAACAGAGACTTTGAAAGGAGGTGGTACAGGTCAAACCCTGAATTCCAACAATTCCTGGTCTTCCAAACTCTCCCTCAGCTTCACTGAGAGTCCTCTCCACCAACTGCAGCCCCACAGAGGTGCCACTCAGAGATGTGGCTGTCCTTTGGGTGTAAATTTATACTAAAAATCCAAACCAGGCGCTACCAAGGCCAGGTGAGGCCCAAACAGCTCTTTCTTCCTCAACAGGTAATTTTCAACCTACCTGGATTCTCTCCAAATTAAAAGTCCCAATAAACTCCTAAATCCACCTGGATGATTTGAAAACTCTTTGATTTCCTGGATTTTCTCCATTTCTCCAGCCAAAGTTCTTCATTAACATGGCCAATACTTTCACTCAGCTCAGGAATTATCGCTCAGCTTGGCCTGAAGGAGGAACATTCCTCCTGGCAGGACGAACATTCCCAGTCTCACACACAGGGTTGGTTCTCCTTTCCTAAAGCCAACTTTACAACTAAGGCCTTTGAACAGCTCTAAATGTGCCAAGTGAGATTCCTGTCCCTGTGGAAGGTGATCCCATGGGCAGCCGCTCAGGGATGAGCAGGGGCTGAGTGTATGGAGCCTTCAGCTCCTCACAAAGCCTCTCCTCACCACAGTTGTCACCACCTACCATATGGGAACCCTTTCCATCTCAAGGGATGGATCCAGCTCTTTCTCAGCCCCCCAGACATCAGATTCCTGCTGATCCCAGCCCTCCTGGGGTCTCACCTCTGTGTTGGGAGCAGGGCTGCTCCTGGCAAGGCGCTGGGAGGTGGCCACATGGCTGCAGAGCTGGAGCTTGTCCTGCAGCCGGGCGTTCTCCTCCTCCGGGATCCTCCCTCTAGGCATGGCACAAAGCACAAGTTATTTTCCTTCCAGCCATGTTTTCAAACAGAAATTTTCTTTTCCAACCTCAGAGCTGTTGCTCTCCACAGCCTCCAGCTCAATGGCAAGGTCTTGGAGGGGAAAATGGGGTAATTGCATCCCTAATTACAGCCATGAAAGCCACTGCACCAATGGCTGGGGCACAATCCAGACTTTCCTCTGGAATTCTTAAGAGAAAGAGGCACAAAACCAGGAAAAGGGAGAATCCTGGGGATGAACATCAGCAGGGGCCTACCTGCTCTGCAGGGAGGGAATCCCAGACCGGAGGCTCCAAGGGGACTCCTCCTGCTCTGATATTTTTTGGAGGAGCTGTCGCCTCTCCTGGAGTAATTTCTCATTCTCAGCAGTGATCTGGGCAATCAGCACCTTCCCCTTAGGGTGATGGAGAAGGAAAGAACAACCACCAGTTACTTTTGACACTCCTCTGTCGTCTGCAAACCTCGGGGCTTTCCCAAGGGACCACCATCAAGGGTGCCAGCTCCTAAAAGCTTGGAGTCACCACCCCCCCATGTGGATGTGGCACTTGGCAACATGGTTTAGTGGTGGTGGATGGATAGTTGGACTTGATGAAGATCCTCATCTTTAAGGTCTTCTCCAACCTCAATGACTCTGCAATTCCATACCCTGTTCGATGTAAAATACCACAAAAAGAGGCTCTGGGGTCACTTCTCAGCAGGAATTGCTGAGACAAAGGAACAGGGAGCTCAGCCAGTGTCAGACTGGGATTTGAGGATGTGGCTTCCCCCAAGGGCAATCCTGAGCCAGGAATTTCCTTTTGGCTTTTTGTTACTACAGGTTGGTAGTCACACAGGTCCTTTCCCGAAAGGAGGGACTTTGGACAAGGGCCTGGAGTGCCAGGACACAGGGAATGGTTTCACACTGCCAGGGGGCAGCATTAGATGCGATATTGGGAAGGAATTGTTCCCTGTGAGGGTGGGGAAGCCCTGGCTCAGGTTGCCCAGAGCAGCTGTGTCTGCCCCATCCCTGTCAGTGTTCAAGGCCAGGTTGGACAGGGCTTGGAGCAGCCTGGGATAGTGGAAGGTGTCCCTGCCCATGACAGGGGTTGGAATGAAATGAGCTTTAATGTCCCTTCCAATTCATACCATTCCCCAAAACCATGATTATTTTCACGGAATCACAGAATTTTGGGTTGGAAGAGACCTTCAAGATCATTGAGTCCACCCCTGCCCTAACACTCAACTAGCCCATGGCACCGAGTACCACATCCAGTCTTTTCTTAAACACATCCAGGGACGGTGACTCCACCACCTCCCCAGGGAGACCATTCTAGTATTTTATCATTCTTTCAGTAAAAAAAATTTTCCTAATATCCAACCTAAATTTCCTTTGGTGCAGCTTGAGGCTGTGTCCTCTCATTCTGTCAGTGCTGCCTGGAGCAGGAGACCAACCCCAGCTGACACAGCCACCTTTCAGGAGCTGTAGAGAGTGATAAGGTCACCCCTGAGTCTCCTTTTCTCCAGGCTGAACAAACCCAGCTCCCTCAGTTGTTCCTCACAGGGTTTGTGTTCAAAGCCCCTCCCCAGCCTCGTTGCCTCCTATGGACACCCTCAAGTGTCTCAATGTCCTTCCTAAACTGAGGGGACAGGACTGGACACAGCACTCAAAGTACAGCCTCCCCAGCCAAGTAAAGGGGAAGAATGAGCTCCCTGCTCCTGCTGGCCACACCATTCCTGATCCAGGCCAGAAGCCATTGGCCTTCTTGGCCCCAGAGCACACTTTTGGAAGCAGCGATGCCCCTGCAGTCTCCCCTTGCAGGAGAAGCCCTGGATGTGTCTTCTCACCTTTTCCACTTGGAGCTTTGACTCACTGAGCTCATTTTCCAGCTGTTTGATCCTACTGTCCCTCTGTTTCACCTCGTGGATGAAGGTCTCCTTGGCCCTGCGGATCTTGTCCTTGTGCCGGAGCTGCATCTCATTGTATTTCCTGGGAAAGCAGGAACAACCATCAGGCTGTGAAAGGCACTTTTGCTCGGGGTCACCATCCAGGCAAGAATGTCCCAGGTTTATTCAGGCTCCTCAAAGTCCAAACTCAGAGTCTCAGCCATCCCCCAGCTCCTCCTTCCAGCCCAGAATGAGCACATGGACTATCCAGATGTTTTCACTGATCAGTTTGGGGGCGTTTTTGTTGAAAATTTTAAGTGTCAACCAAATGCAAGTTGATAAAGGAATAGGACCCAAAGCATTTCCAAAAGTGACTCCCAGCTTTACAAATCTTTGTGCTCATCCCTCCCAGCTCTTTATAAGGGCAACAAAACTGCAAGTTCCAAGGCAAGGATAAATTGGTTTTGTTGGTGGGGATGTGGATGATTAAGGGAATGACATTTGTATGGGAAGAAAATTTAGAAAAACCCTCTAGGATCATCAAATCCAACCATTCCTCCAGCACTGTCAGGGCCACCCACTGACCATGTCCCCAAGTGCCACACTGACACGTTGGCTGGAAAATTAGGAATTCTAAACAATATTGGACGGGCCAAGAGGAGTAAGAAGAGCCACTTCAGCAGGAGCTTCTTTGAGTTAGGACACTGGGGACAAATATTTTTCCCCCCTGACACTTCTGATTTTTGCTCTTCCTCTCTTGTCAGTTTGGGCAAAGGTCTTGTTTAGTTTTATCCAGTTGGGATAGAAGGGAAAATAATACCAAAAAAGAAGACAAATTTCTACCATATAAGGGGTATTTGCTCAATATTCATGATAAAAAAGCTACTCTACTTCAAATTAACCAAGAGGGCTCTGGGGAGAAAGGAGCAGCTCCAGGGAGAGTCTTTGCTGACACCAGACCCCAAGCAATACCCAGACCATCCTCCTGTGCTGCCTTTACCTGCCAAGGAGAGCAGAAAGGCTCGGAAATCTGGGGGTGCTCACCTGGAGAAGAGAAGGCTTCCAGGGAGAACTCAGAGCCCTCTCCAGGACCTAAAGGGGTTCCAGAGGAGAGCTGGAGAGGGACTGGGGACAAGGGCCTGGAGGGACAGGACACAGGGAATGGCTTCCCATTGCCAGAGGGCAGGGAGAGATGGGACATTGGGAAAGAATTGTTCCCTGTGGGGGTGGGGAGGCCCTGGCACAGGGTATCCAGAGAAGCTGTGGCTGCCTCACTCCTGGAAGTGTCCAAGGCCAGGTTGTACAGGGCTTGGAGCAGCCTGGGACAGTAGAAGGTGTCCCTGCCCACGGCAGGCGGGACACTGGATGGGCTTTAAGGTCCCTTCCTTCTCAAATCTGTTTGAATTCCCTGACAGCAGACATGGAGGATGAGCTCACTATACACAGGGCTAGTGGATTTAGTGCTAAAAGCCTGAACATTGGACAGGAAAGTCCACGCCACAGCCAAATCCAATAGCAGGCCCAGGCAGGTTTTCGGGCATTACCTGACATAGAGATCCTTCTGGTTCAGGAGTCGGACACCTTCTTCATACAGAGCTTTGTTCTCCTCCTTCAGCAGTGCCAGCTGCTCCGAGAGCTTCTGGTTTTCCTTCTGGCACTGCACATGCTGGAAAAGGGCTATTTTAAACTTGTGTATGTGTGGCCTGAGCTGCAGGGGCCCCTCTGCCTCCCATCTTCCTGGTCTCCAAATCTTCTCTCTCATCAATCCCAGTGGTTCCCACTACAGCCAATATCCAGCCAGCCAGCCAGCCCCCCAGACCACTCCCTCCTCTCCTTAACAAGCAGTGAGATTTTGTTGCCGAGAGAGGCAATGAACCCTCCCAGACAATGGACTCTGTCAAAGTTTCCAAGCAAAAACTCCAAGCTCTGCAAGATGAAGGGAAGGAAGAAACCACCAAGCTTTCCTGGGCCCCCAGAGCTGCATCCCAGGGTTGGGGGTTGGTTTTTCCTTTCCTCCTTGCCTGTGGAAGTTTTTCCCATTGACATGCTAAGAAGCACTGATGGCTGGGTCCTTGGGGGTAGGGGAGGGAAAGGGGGAACACCATGAGATAAGAAGCAGGTAAAGGAGGGTGGGGGGCAGTCGCTGTCTCTCGCTCGCTTTTGGCTCTCGGAGGAGGAAGGCTAACGCCCCCCCAGTATCCCAACGCCGGGAGCTGCCTCTCTGTTGTTGGACCCCGCACCCCAGCTAGGACACTGCTGCTTCAGTTTGCTGTTTCCAAGCATCCTATCGGAGCACCGGGACCGACATTGCCCCAAGGATTTGTGAGAAAAGCCTCTCCTCCATCCTTCCCATCTGGGACACAGCTGCCATCATCCCCAGCGCCCCTGCAGCTGCACAGGGATTGTCACATCTGCCCTGCCCACCGGGAGTCTGCCAGAGCTCACTGCCAGCTGTGACAGTAACTGCACCAAAGGGAAAAGTGCCCACAGCCGAGAGAACTGTCACTGGGCTCCTGTTCTGTTTGTTGTTAATTCCATAGTTGTTGTTCTGTTTGCCTTGTTATATATACTAGTGAAGAACTGTTATTCCTATCCCCGTATCTTTGCCTGACAGCCCCTTAATTTCAAAATTATACTAATTCAGAGGGAGAGAATTTACTTTCTCCATTTCAAGGGAAGGCCCTGCTTTCCCTAGCACACACCTGTCTTTCAAACTGGGACACCCAGGAAACCAACTGGCAATGGATGCTGCTTTTCCTCCAGCTCCTATTGAAATCAGTGAGATCTGCAAGAGCTCAACCTCTGATTAGATGTTCCCAATTCCAGCAGCTCCCAGGAGCAGATTCCAGCTCATGACGTATGATGAGGAACCCCCTCACTGTCACCCACCTCACCAGCATCCAGCTTCTTGTCATCCTCCAGGACGTGCAGGGTCTTGGCCTGGAGCTCCACATGCATCTTGGCCAGTGACGCCTCTGTCTCCTGGGAATGCCGGAGCTGCTGCCGCAGCTCCTCCACCTGCTGCTCCAGGAGCCTCCTGGAAACACGATGAGGTGACAGTGAGAGCTGGAGGGGGATGTGTCACCTGCCCCCAAAGTGTCTGTCTGTCATCCAAAACACCCCATTCTCCTCTTGCCCTGGCTGGCATGGAGGGGACAAAGGAATCAGCACATCCCAGTTGTCCCTATATCCCAGTGACACACAAAGGGAGGATGATATACTGGGATCACTCCCAGCTGCACAAGAAAGGGGGATGTTGGCATCACTGCACTGACAGGAGAGGCCACAGCCCTTCCAAGGCAGATGAAGCCTCCAATAATCTTTTAAATCTCAGGAAGGGAGAGTCCCTGGAGAGCTCCAGGGATAAGGCAAGTACAAAGGGAAGGCGGGAGGTCAAAGAAGTCGTTTGGGTCTCTCTGAACCCTCCAAGGGCAGCCAGGAGCTGCCAGAGGGTTGGCACGGCCCCTGCACGGCTCAGAGACCTTTTCAGCTGCTCCTCGTGAAGTTCCTGCTGCACTCGAGCTTCATTTTCCCGAGCTTCCTTCAGCTCCTCTTCCAGAAGCTTCTTATCAGAAACACGGGCCTCTGCCAACAGCAGCTGGTGCTGGGAATCCTTCAGCTTTTGCTGGAGTTTTGAGACCTTGGATTAAAATGGACATAGATTAAACTTTCTGAATATACAGGTCAGTGTCTGAATTAGATCCCTCTGATTCCCCAGTGTCTGAGGCATGGGAAGGAAAGATTTCCTTGTTTTGACTCTAACTCCATTAAAAGCAAAACCTCTGGAATGGCTACCAGATTTTGGACCAAACACTATGTCATGAATTCTAAACAACCTTTTTCAACCCAATTTGATCCTGCAAACTTCAGAAGAGGATCCAGTGATTTGTGCAGGAGCATGACAGAATCGGTGCCATGGAAAACACATGGTTTTGGAATTTTCCAGACAGTAAACACATGGTTTTGGAATTTTCCAGACAGTAAACAGTAGGAAATCTCAGCAAGAACAAGATCGGGGTTCCCTGTGCCTGCCAGCCCCACTATCAGTATTTCAGAGATACTGGATTACCAGATATGGCTTCTATTGCCTTGATTATGGTCCTGCTAATTACAGGCTTTTTTTCCTACAATATTAAGCCGAGGGAACACAAAAAAGGATTTGAGGAAGCAAACCTGCTTGTTTTCTGCACTAGAGCTGCATAGAACTGTTACACTCACCTTCTTCTGTGCTTCTCCTGCTCTGGATTTCTCCTGGGCCAGCCTCTCTTGGAGGTTGCTCTGGAGCTTATCAGCCTGAGAGCACTTGGAGAGCTCCAGTTCCAGCTCCTTGACCTTCTGCTGGCTCCTCTCCCACTGTGCTGAGAGGGAGGAACATGTTTCCGTGGTATCTGAGAGTTTGGCCCGGGCCTGCTTCAGCTCAGCTTTGACCTGAGATCCCAGAGAAGAAATCAGATTTGTACTTCAACAGAAATCAGCTGGAATGGCTTGGCTAGGGAAGGGGAACAGGATTCCAGAATGATAAAAAGAGGAATCACAGAGGAAGTAAAGTATGTTTTATTTCGATGCAGTGAAAATTTTAACGGAATCCCAGAATGGTTTGGGTAGGAAGGAGCCTTAAGGATCACCTGTTTCCAACCCCCTGTCATGGGCGAGGTCACCTTCCACTATCCCACGTTTCTCCAAGCCCCATCCAACCTGGCCTGGAACATTTCTGAGGATGAGGCAGCCACAGCTGCTCTGGACACCCTGTGCCAGGGCCTCCCCACCCCAACATGGAAGGATTTCCTTCCAATATCCCATCTGACCCTGCCCTCTGGCAGTGGGAAGCCATTCCCCCTTGTCCTGGCACTCCAAACCCTTGTCCCAGGTCCCTCTCCAGCTCTCCTGGAGCCCCTTTGGCCCGGGAAGGGGCTCTGAGCTCTCCCTGGAGCCTTCACTTCTCCAGGTGAACACCCCCAGCTCTCCCAGCCTGGCTCCAGATGGGCTCCAGTCCTCGTGCCTGTAATTCCCATGGAACTGAGGCAGAGCACACTGGGGAGCCTGGCTCTGTCCCTACCTTGGTGCATTCCTGCTGGAGCAGCAGATTTTGCCTCTGGAGGTCGGTGTTCTTCTCCCTCTCATACCTGAGCTCCCTCTCGGCAGAGCTGCACAAGTTCTGCACCCGCCGCAGGTCTTGGCGCAGCTGCTGCAGCTTCTCCTCCTGCTGCTGGAACCTCTCCTCAGACAGACCCTGCAGGAATAACAGAAGTGACACAGAAATTGACTTTAAGGCAGGATAAAGGTGATTAAGGAAGGCAGAAGCCAGTAGAATTTAAGGACATTTGGGCAGAAAGATGCATGAACCCTGGCATTTATATGTCCCTACACCATGTCCTATTCCCTTCCCTGTCCCTGCAGGGCTTTAAGAGCCATGTGGATGTGGCACTAGGGGACATGGTTTGTTCTGGACGTGCACTGCTGGGTTAATGGTCGGACTTGATGATCTCAGAGGCCTCAATGATTCAATGATTCTCTCCATCACTTCAGAGAACACAATACAGCTCCTGAGGCTGAAGGGGAAGAGGTGATAACCTGAATGAGGGAACAAATCCCTGTTAAAAAAAAACCTGTCCAATCAAAGCAAAGCCACTAGGTCACTTTGGATTCTTGCACCAGAGTCTCACTCAGGAGTGACACAGCCAGGCCAGCTCCCAAAGAGATCAGGAACAGGAGAAAGGCGAGTCCTGGCAGTGGGACAGGAACACAACAGGACAGAGCCTGGGCACTCGGAGGTGTCACCGACGAGCTGCAATGGCTCTTGGGAGATAATCGATCTCCTTGGCTCCCTCACCTTCCTGGCACACACACCAAAACCTGGGTTGTACCAAAGCCTTTCTTTCCAGAATCACTTTCAGCCATCTCTGGATATGCATTCCTACTTTGCATCTTCACCTTCTGCTCTTGGGACCAGATGGAATTCACTGAAGACCAAATCTGCCTTCTCAGATAATCCCCAGATAACCTCCCAAGCTGGGAAAAGTCTTGATCCAGCACTGTGGGATCTGGCAGTGTCAGTCATCCTGGAGGCCCATGGACTCCACTGGTTTTGTGGGGTTTTCCCCACCTGTTTCTATCAGGATCCCTTCCAACATCCACTGCACTCCTTGTGTCTTGTCCTGCTCCATCTGGATGATTTGCTGCTTCTTGGATATAACTGGACTCCCATCCTCTACTTCTCACTCCCACCCTGGCCATACAGACCACCCTGTCCTCTCTTCTCTCCCAAATCTTTGCACAGAAGCTGAGTTCATCCTCAGTCTCCCCATCCTGAGTTCTTCCATAATTTCCTCCCTGTTTGGCAGGGACACCTGCACCTCCCTTTCTGTTTCAGCTCGCAAGGTGAGAAAGGTGAACAAATTCCACTTAAATCACTTATTTCTGCCATGTGTAATCAGTTCAGTTTATCCAAGTCCCCACCACATCCAAAAGCACAACACAAGGAAATGAACACATCCTTAATTTCCAACCATTGCTCACACCACAGGACTGGCTTTCAGCCTACTTTAATTATGTTTTGCCACTCTATTAATGACAAAAAGCAGGGTGCAGATAGCAAAGCTGCCCATACCTGTTTAAGGCTCCCCTCTAAACTGCCTGCCAAGCTCTGCCATGGGAGAAACCTGTTCTCCCTCTGCTCCAAGCCTGGGGTCATCCTCCTCATGTCTCCGCTGGGGCCCTGCTCCCAGACACTCCGGACGTCACGTTTGAGCAGAGCAATTTCTTCAAGCAGCATCTGTTTCTCTTCATTGCTCTCTTTGAGCTGCTTTTCCAGCTCCTCCTTCTTCTTGTTGCTCTCTAGTAATTCAGAGCTTGAAGGAGAAATAGTAAAGGAAAGAGATAACTACAGAAATCCTGGGAAAACACCCTTAAAGGGGAAAAACTTGGGAGATGAGAGTCCAGTGAAACATTCAAGCGCTTCAGGAGGCTCCAAATGGGATTCAGTCCTGGGTGCAGTCATTCTGGGCAAGGGTCACTCTCCTTGGGACACTTCCCACAAAACCACGTGTGTCCAAAGGCTCAGCTCTCTCCGAGAGGAGGTTACCGGCTGGCTACGGAATCCGCACAAAGGCACAGCAGCTGCCCTGGACTCAGAGTCCCAGGGAAGCACTGGAGGAGGGGCTCAGGTGTCCCAGTCCAGCTGTCTGACCTATCTTCACCCAAACTCCATCTCCATTTTCTCCATCCAAGATCAAAGCTGTGGCTGCCCCATCCCTAGAACTGTCCAAGGCCAGGTTGGACAGGGCTTGGAGCAACCTGGGAAAGTGGAAGGTGTCCCTGCCCATAGCAGGGGGTGGAATGGGATGAGCTTTAAGATCCCTTCTTCCCCAGAACAGTCTGAAATTCTATGATTCTATGTCCTGGATGTCCTGGCACTGGCATAGGTTGTCCAGGCTGGAATTACTATCCCTGGAAGTGTTCAAAAAACATGTGGATGCAGCACCTGGCGACATGGGTTAAGGGTGGACATGGCAGTCTTAGGAAACAGTTGGACTCAATGATCTTGGAGGGCTTTTCCAGCCTGAATGATTCCACGATTCCTTAGCAGCTCCCTATTGCCTTCTCCTGGTTGCCCTTTGTACCAGTACCAGTAACCCAGGTCTCTGTAACTATACTATACCCAAGCTTTTATTTACTAAGCCTGAGCCCGGATGCTCCAGCTCCAAATTTGTCCTGATCTACTCAAAAGAGGAGGCAGACCAACACCTACTGATACCTCCCCTCCAAAGACACCCAAATTCCAAGGACTACCCAAATCTCAAGCGGGAGTAGGACCGCCAGCTGCTGCCAGCAGTGAGCCCTGAGGAGCCCAAACCCGTAACAGGAGATTTCTGAGACTCCCTTAGACCAACTTCAAGGGAAGAATCTTTCTCCCTAAGCTCCCATTTAGGCTGCTCAGAATCTGGAAGAGCTGCAGAAAAAAAATCTTTAATCCTGGCTGATCCTGATGGCACTAAGTCAATAAAATCAGAGATGCTGACCCAAGGACAACATGAAGATGCCAGGCCCATTTTTGCTAGGAGCAGCCCTATGGGGAGTTGGAAAAGACTCAAAACTTAAGTCAGCAAAGACAAGGAGCAGCAAATATCACAGGCTTTGTTAAGGTTTACCAGAGCAGATCTTGTTCTTCCCTCAGGTTTTTGATCTGTTCTTCCAAAAACACTACTTTAGCCATCTGTTCCTCATAGGTCTTTGCATCTGCACAGGGATCTTCCTGTTTCTGCTCCGCTTTGGGACTCTGTTCTCTGTCTTGCAGGACTTCAGAGGCCTGTAAGGTCAGAAAACACCACGACTTGGATCTCCTTTGCTCTGATGGAAACCTTTGGAGCCATACAGGGCAGTCTGGGGACTCCAGCAAGACATGGCTTGTAATTCTGTGGCTAAATTATTGCAGTTCTTCCCCCTCGAAGACACATGTGAGTCCTTTTTCCTGCATGGAAAGTAGCTCTGTCTAAACTACCACCAAGCCATCGTTCTTTATTTGATTTTATCCTACTGTGGCACATCTGCAGCTCCCAGGGATTTACAGCATGTGACAAAGCTCTTTGCAAAAGCAGCAGCTCTTGGCAAACAAGGAGGAGCACAAGGTGTGGGTTCAGGTAGCTCTCGCAGAGGTGCTCCAACTCTACCCCAAACAACTCCCTAGGGATGGCTTCTCTTCTCCTAATGTCACCTAATCCTTTAGCACCAGGTAACAGCACACCCTGAACCTGAGACTTGAGGAGAAAATGCCAAGAAAATAAGAGGCAGGAAAGGAGGAATGCATCAGAAGAGAGGAACTCCCAGCTGAATCACAACTGGAGGCTGCCCAGTGTCAGATCTGCTGCTCAGCTGTTTTGGAACCAAATCCTTCAGACACAAACACCATGATCCTCACTAAACACCAATTATTGATTGCTGAAGCTTTTTAATCAATAGCTCCTCCTGAGCTTTCGATCCCAGGTATTTCCTGGCTATTTTCCAAGGCATCTTATCTACACCAGCACAAATTTGCTCATATTTGAGCAACACACCCCAGCAGCTCCTGCCTGCATCAGGTACTACAAGAACTGGGAATTCCTTCTACACCTCACCTCTTGTCCTGGGGTACAATGCAAAAATGTGTATTCTATCACCATCTGTTAAAATGTGGGAGGGGTGGTGATCCTTAT